GTCACTGAGTGATCTGACAGCTGTGGAAAGTGGAGTGCCGCAGGGTTCTGTGCTGGGTCCTTTGCTATTTACAACATATATTGCGGATTTAAAAACAGAAATCCAGTCAAGGTGTTTGTTCTACGCTGGTGACTTAAAAATTTACAATGACAGTCCCATGAATTGCAGTATTTTGAGTAAAGATATTTTAATAGTGAATCAGTGGTCCAAGAAGTGGCCAGAAATGAACAGAAATGTTCAGTGCTACATATAGGACCGAATAACAGCAAATCTGTTTACTCAATGGATGGAGTAGTATTAACCAGCACTAATTCCCAATTGGATCTAGGTGTAATAGTAAACTCAGAACTGACATGGAGTGATCACATCGTGAGTGTCATTAAAAAATCAAATTCTCTTGGGTATTTACTACAAAGATCTTTTATAAAACCAAGTGTAAGCACCACGTTAAAGTTGTATAAAAATTTTGTAAGACCAGTACTGGAGTTCGCAAATAATGTTTGGTGGCCTGTGCTCATTGGAGATCAAAATCGTTTGGAGTCAGTACAACAAACAATGACTCGTCTTCCCTATGGTAATGACCCTTTCCGACCATCTTATTCTGAGCGTCTTATTATAATGTCGCTACCCACATTGAAGGACAGAAGAATTCGAGGGGATGTAATTTTCACCTTCAAATCGTTGAGACTCGAAGATCCATTGATGCAGGATTTATTTACCTTATCCCCATATTCCAGAACTAGAGGTCATTGCTTCAAACTGAAAAAAGAGAATTTTCGTACAACTGTAAGACAGCATTTCATAACAAACAGAGTGTTTGACACTTGGAACAAGTTGCCGGAGGAAGTCGTCCAGAGTCCTAATGTTAATGTTTTTAAATCCAGATTTGACAGTTTGTAGATTGTTCACATATTCTTATAATTGTACAGTTCCGTGGGCATAACAGGGCTTGCCCTCTGCCCTTTATCTTTTATTAATAATAATAATAATAATAATAATATTTGTGAAAATTTGATTTTTGTGTATTTGGATGAATCATGGTTAAAATGGTTCGTCCATTCGTCGCTGGGTGTACGATACTGATCAAAAAGCAATCCCACCAAAATTAAAAGTGAAGGATCAAGGTTTACGGGTTTTTCAACGGTGTTCTTGGATGATTGTAACAATTTTTTAAATTTTAAAAATAACGATAGAGACTATCATAAAACGATGGAGGGGACAATTTTTCAAAATTGCACAGTTGTTGTCTTTTACCAACCCTTTTAGTAATCTTAGAAAAGTGAAAAAAGAAGTTGGAAGATATGGAAATAGTCTGTTCACAAAGGTCGAAATTTCCATTTCTAAGAAGAGTGGGCGAGCAGAACGAACTGATGATTCAGAATTAAAGATGAGATGCTAAATGTGGCTTGCGACAATAGTCGTATGTAGAACCCCCATTCATATAAAAACAATGTTTAAGTGAAATTTTACTGTTTGTTCCTTACATATGAAATAAACACTTACAAAAAGCCGAATAACTGTTTTAAATAGCCTAAAGTTTTATGCTTTCTAAGAAATGGATACCGTTAACTTGGTCATTGCTACTGAAAATTGAAAGTATCGGCAACAATGTTTATATTTCTGGCATATTTTTTAACCTTTAATTTAATAAAACATAACCTAACGAAAAAAGTTCAGGGAATTTTTATTCTTCTGAATACCAACAAACTCACTAGATTTTCATGGCCAACCCTACTATAAAGATCGTGAACGGATAATTTTTAAAAAATAAAAGGAAATATTGTAACTTTTACAAATATAATAATTAGAGAGCGGATTTGTATAAGTTTAATGCTTTTTGTGAAAAATGTAAGCACTTCAAAAATTTTTTATATCTGTAACTATGATACAATTTGGAGTTATTTGACTCAATTTTTTTTATGCTTATTTGTTTTTTTTTCAATTTTATGCATATTAAAACTTATATGCTTATTTAATGCTTTTTTCGACGAATATGAGTTTTAATGCATATTTTGTTCAAATGCCGGCCTTGTCAGGATGACAAATACTTGTTAGTTAGCAGTATCGTACCGTATGATTTTACCTGCACTTGACCATTGAAGTACACTTACTCAAGACCGTTTCTGTGAATATGTTCCGGTCGTTTGGGTAATAAAATTTTATTATAGGATTGGAAAAATACTCCATAGATTTTATGACTTTAAATCCTTACTTCCGTTGATAATGAATTAAAGCTTTTAACCAGATGTTCTTTTTCGGCATTTTGCGGCAAGACCGTTGAAGATTTTCTAGAAAAAAGGATTATTGTACCCAACTACCTACCTTAAAATTTTTCTAATGGAAACTTTTAACTAAATGAACCGTTTATTTCACAACCATCAGTCTATCGCATCTGTCGTAGTACAGTGTTATACGTGGTTCTCCCTTGTTACATGTTGAGTTCTTTTTGGTAATATTACTAATATTTTAAAAGAATGCCGAAAGTAAAATCGACGCCGGATGAGTGGATAAGGGATTTTCCAGAATTAAAATTAGAAAACAACAAAATATTCTGCAGAGCTTGTCTGAAAACCGTAAGCCAACTATTTTTTTTTTATCTATTTTCTTTGTTAATCCTGTATATGTACGTTGTTTTAGATTCAAAGTGATAAAAAATATAACGTGGCGCAACATGTCAGAATGACTCTTCATGTAGAAAGGAAGAAAATATTTGATGTTTCTAAAATTAAACAGCAGACCATACATGAATCTGTTGCATCTACTTCCACAAAAGATGAGCAGTTGCAGTTTAATTTCGATTTATGTAAAATGATGATCCAGTCCAATATACCTTTAAAAAAATTGGAGAAAGGCCCTCTTCAAGAATTCCTTGAAAAACACTGCAATCGACATATTCCGGTTGAAAGTACTCTCCGAAAAAATTATATAGGCCCAGTGTTTCAGCAAGTTTACAGCGAAATTAAACATCGCATTGGAGATAATTATTTATGGTTCGCTGTCGATGAAACAACCGATAGTTGTGGAAGATACGTGGCAAGTTTAATTGTTGTAATCTTAAATGAAAATTTCCCTAGTCGAGCGTATGTAGTAAGTTTGAAAATGTTAGATAAAACAAATGGCAATACGATTACCAGATTTGTGAATGACAGTCTTACGTCACTATTTTTGCCAAATAAAATTTTATTGATGATCTCGGATGCAGCTGGTTATATGTTGAAAGCAGGGAATAATCTAAAAATATTGTACCCCAATTTATTTCACTCTACTTGCATTGCCCACGGTTTAAACAGAGTGGCTGAAGGAATACGTTTGCAGTTTCCTACTGTTAATAAATTAGTGACAAATGGTAAAAAGATTTTTGTTAAAGCCCCACTAAGAGTGCAACATTTTAAGGAAAAATTTCCAAACATACCATTGCCCCCAGAGCCGATTATGAGGTGGGGAACATGGTTACAGGCCACATTTTATTATGACAAATATATCAAAGAATTTGAGGAAGTAGTTACGGAGTTTAGCGAAGATTCTTCTCAATCGATTAAAGATTGCATAAATATTTTGGAAAACAAAGATTTGCGACAAGATCTAGCTTTTCTAAGAAGCAATTATCAATTCGTATGTGAGGTAATAGAAAAGTTAGAAAAACCCAACATGTTGTTGGTAGATGCCATAAACTTAGTGAAAGAATTTAAATAACAAGCAAACGCAGTAAGGGGTGATATTGGTACTAGAGTATCTCAAAAACTTGACGAAGTGTTAAATAAAAATGCAGGTTTCGGTGTTCTTTCCGACGTTGCTCGTGTTTTACAAGGCCATAAGGTGGAAAATTTGGAGTTGGATTCAACATTAGTTGCAAAATTCAAATTTGCGCCAACAACGAGTGTGGATGTTGAACGCACATTCTCCAATTTTAAACACATTTTAAATGATCGGCGAAAAAATTTTACAGTGGACAACTTGCAACATATTAAATCATAAATTGTTTAAAAAAAACTGAAATACGTGTGTAAAATATAAAGTCTAGGATTATTGTAATAATATTTTATCCAAAGTTCTAAGAAGTGTTCGTTGATTTGTAATATGATTATGTTTTTAATGCTTTTTTGCTTAAAATAAAACTTTTTTATTGAAAATATTGTGCTTATTTAACGCTTATTCTTATTTTTTTGTGCTTATAAATCCGCTCTCTAATAATAATACTTTTATTGATGTGACAACCGAAGTAATACAGAGTGAGTAATATAACAACGGGTTCCTGACCAAATTTCAATGGAACACAAAGTATAAGTATAAGTACTGAAGCAGAAATAATTTATCATAATTTTGGTTCTGATCATTGCTATCTATGCTTTCATTATTATTTAACAATAAAATTTAATCAAATCTGTTAGTGAAACGTAAAATGGGTTGCCTATGCACAAATATTCAGGCGTGAACAGATAAAATGAACACCCACAATATAAAAAATATGTCACTGTTTCTTAACAACCCATTTTATTGATTTTTACTGCATATTTATCTACATATTTTTGGAGCTTTTGGCGTTAAATTTGGCCCAACAGTTCTTGTAATTTCCGTCTGAAGTACGAGTGCCACTATTCTCCTAGAGTTCTAGTACTTTTGACTCCGTATTCACAAACGTACTGTTTTCTCTCATGTGATGAATAATAATTGTCTTATAATGGTCACTATTAAGCTGGACATAGGTCTTGATGGAATTAATATTGCTATGGCTAGTTACTTTCAGCACGTGGTTTTCTCCAACACCAGATATTGCCAAGCTAGATACTACTGTTGTTTGAGGGAATGGTTCGTGATTTCACATTGAAAATTTGCAAACACAGAAAAAGTTTGAATACTTAAAGCAATATTGTAAATCATTAACAAAACTAAAAATAGGATCTGTCCACAGTGTCCCTCTGGGACTCCAAAAGTAACACCAAACGTTTGCGATTTAAAATTACCAATCTTAGCTTGTTGTTATAGAATAATAGAGCAGCAAGTTAGACAGGGAGGATTTAAATAATGCGTCTTAAAAACTCAAAACATTTTCGCAAGCTTTGCAACAACCACAAAACATCTACAACATTTCAAAGTCCTTCTTCCGGCTTCAGATTAAGAATCTCTTCTGTTGCTTTCCAAATTTCGCCACAAAATTTTTTATTATTTGCTCCTAGGGGCTTAATGAAAGGTTTACAGTCCCAAAAATGCTTCCCAGTTACCTTTTCGAGCTTTTTCGAAACAGCAACATGCACTAAAGTTTGTGAACCTTCCCAGGGATACTAAAATAAGTCAAAATTAACGAAAAAAAAAACAGTAGTTTAAAATGAAGTATCAAAAAAAGACTGCCATCAAACGTCTGTATCTGTCTTTAGTAAGAATAGAAGAAAATACTCGAAAAAGATGGACAATATTTTTTCACTGTAGTTTGCCATTTGTTAGCAGTCGTAGTACTTACAAGCCAGAAGTACTAGTAACTCACTTTCGTGTAAATAATGTTATATAACCATATTACAGTGTTTATCAACACATTAGAAGCAACGCTATAAACTTTAGGTATAATAGGAGTAGCAACAAATCCTGGATGAATCGTATTGCACGTAACACCAGTACCTCTCAATCTCTCGGCATAAATATCAGAAGCTATTATCAGAGCAAACTTCGAATTTGCGTAACTAAGAAACTTATCTATAAATCTGCCATACTTGTCATCGAAATTTAAATTCTTCACAGACAAGGTATTCAAAAAAGCAAAACAAGAGCTCGTGTTAACAATTCTACTTGGTGCAGATTTCTTCAACAAACCTAAAAATAAAATCCACGTCGATTTCACAAAATTTTCGCATCAACGAGTTCTCTAGTACCTAGAAGCAGATGAATCAGTAGAAATGGAGCAAAATAGTTGATTTGCATAACAGGATGAAGACCGTCTTTAGTTCTGTTTTCTTTAGATAGACCAATTCCAGCATTGTTAATCAAAATGTCCAGTCTGTCTTCAGTTTTTATGATATCGGAAGCGAAATCTCTTACTGATTGTAGAGACGCCAGATCCACGAATTTAGTTACGATGTTGGGGTTGTTGGTGTACTCGATGATTTTTTCTTTTGACTGTGTCATGTCAGCTACGTCGACCATAATCACCCTGCACCCTCTTGAAGCCAAATTCAGAACAGTTTGATAGCCAATCCCTTAATCACATTTATTATTAAGCGAAATTACATTTAATTCTACTGACCAGAATTGGCGCCCGTAACGATGGCAGTTTTGCCAACAAAACATGTTGCACTTCTGGTGATACCACGTGACAAACGCATATAAATGTATAAAATTATCGCGAATGTCAGAAATGTTAATCCAAACATGGTGTTCTTACGACGGTCTACGCACGTCTAAGTGAAAATTTAAATAAAATACACGCACGTTATAAAAAACTATAATGACCTTGTTTTTTATCAACAGGTTTTTACTGAAACCGGTCTACGCAACGCAAGATCTGTAAGGATCAACGCACATAAAAGTACAAAGATATCAATCACACATGTTAAACAACGTATTATCTTTTTTAAGCAGTCAACGAATGACCAACTAATCAGAACAAGTTTTTATGAAAGACAAGTGATTCGAACCAAGCATTGCACATGAACGTGTACTTTGACTACAAAATAAGAACGTTTTATCTAAAATATAGTAATATGTAGTTCGACCAAATATATCTCATTATCATTAACTTAAATGACCCGAGTTAAAAATCTGTGTAAGTGTAATCGTTAACATTAGTTTCTTTTTAGATAAAATGCATTTTATGATGGAATCAGTGTTGAATTTCTTCGTTATCTACAGATTGTAATGAATGAAACTGTCGTTTGTCGCTTAGGGAATATATATTACAGCGATTTTATTCTACAGATAATGCGAAACTGCGAAAATATTACCATTTACAATTTTAGACATTCGTACTTAGAACACCTAGTTTTTTTCTTCTTTATACTCTCTCTGTGTGTGTACTTTGGTACTTGATCCTTTACTATTTTTCTGTACTCTGCCTTATCTTTAGACTCCGATATTCTCGATCTGCGTTCTTGCTTATTTACATCCTTATTTCTTACACTCGGTTCTTCTTTCATACTCCTTCCCTTTTTCTCATTCTCTCTATTTCTTCACATGCATATCCCTTTCCTTCATAATACTTGTCTCTTTCGTTCCAAACATGCTTTCCCCCTTCCTTTCTTATTTCTTTCCAACGTTCTTGCAATATTTTAAAATCACCTCTCTCACTGAAGTTCTCTTCAAATCCAACCGCCCTTTTACCCGCTTCCACTCTCATTTTCTCTCTTTTTGTTTCTTCTCTCACTATATACCCCTGCGTATACTTTTCCAATCCCAGTGTCCATTTTAAGTATTTTTCTTGCACTCTCTCTATTTCTTCAAATTCCCTCCATCCCTAAATCTCAGCTCCGTACATAAATACACTTTTGATGAAACCATCAAACATCATCATTCTTCTCATATAATCATGTCCAAATTTTCTCTCTCCTATTCCCCATACTCTTCCTATCACTTTGTTCGCTTTTCGGACCATTTCTTGAATATGTGCTCTATCTGAGTTATTACTCTTTAAGTACTGGAATTCTTTCGCCTGTTCAATTTTATTCCCTCTCCATGCCCACTCTTCCTTCTCCTTTCTTACTTTCTTCCCAAACACCACCATTTTTGTTTTCTCCACATTCACTTAAAATTCCTTTTTTTGTACGTACTTTTTTAAACTTTTAATCATTATTTTCATTCCTTCTCTTTTCTTTGCTACAATCACCAAATCATCTGCGTACGCTATATTGAGCCAGATAGTTCTTCACATCAATTTTTTGCCCCCTTTTAAATAATGGGATTATTATACCATTTTCCCTTCCAAACATTTCACTCCTTCTGTCCCGAACATCCACGTTTCGTTCTGGATTCCATCCCCTCCTGGTGCCTTTCCTCTTTTCAGTCTTTCAATTTGTCTTTCTATTTCATCTTCTGTTATTTCCGAAACTCTCCACATTACTTCCGTCGTTGTGATTCCTTTATTTATTTTGCAACATTTTTCCTCACAACCTCCCAATAAAAGTGTCTTTTCCTTTCATGTGTTTTGATTTTCCTGCTGACTTCAGTCTTCCTTCTCCGCTCCTTGTTTATATATCTCCATACTTCTTCGTCTGTTTTCAGGGACTTTAATGTCTTCTCTTCTTCTTCTCGTTTTTTTTCTTTTTCTTTCTTCACATTTTCTCCTATAATTCTCTCTTGCTTTTAAGTACTCTTCTTTCCTTCCCCTGTTGTTCTTCCATTTTCTTAATTTTTCCTTTGCTTTTCTCTTCAACTCACTACATTCTCTGTTCCATCCATTATTCCTCCCAGTTTGGGAAAATCATGTTTTTTAATTTATTACAACAAGTTGATTGGAGTTTTATTGATCAAAATTGCGACTTTAATACGTCTGATTTGTTCTCGATCTTTATAGATACGCTACTGTTGTATTATAATATCGCCTGTCCTGAGAAGAAACTATCGTGTAACAGATCCAAGGTCCATAATATAATTTAGTATACCCCTGATTTAAAAATCATGCGAGAAACTCTGCATCTAATATATAGTTCTTACAGATTATATGGGACTTTGGATTTAAAAATAATGTATAATAATTTTAAGCGTAAATATGAAGAAGCTGTTAAAAAAGCTAAAATTGCAACCAACAATGTCTTTATTAAAAACAATTCTAATAATTCTAAAGCTATGTGGTCATTAATAAACAGAAGTAGAAAACGTACTATTCATGAAACTACAAAAATTTCCTCTAACGAATTCAATTTACATTTCTCGAGCATTGCTAAAAATATTCTTAATTCCTTACCAAATACTAATCTTGATCCTGTTAAAATTATGATATCTGTTAATAACACGTCACATATGTTCTTTAAATTCAGGACAGTTGGAGAGGTACAAGTTCGTGAGGCATTGAATAAATTAAAAAATAAGAGCAGCAAAGATATTTATGGGTTCAATTTCGACGTTATAAAATCAGTAAAGGATATACTAATTGCACCTTTGACCAAATTAATAAATAAATGTATTGTTGACTCGGTTTTTCCAGACTGCTTAAAATTGGCTTTAGTATGTCCAATATACAAAAAAGGTAATGTCAATGAAGTTGATAACTATCGACCAATCTCCCTTCTTCCAGTGTTGTCTAAAGTGTTCGAAAAATTAATGTTAGAACAAATCCTTGAATTCTTTATTAGTAATAACTTGTTTTGTACAAATCAGTTTGGATTTCGTAAAGGCTTACCGACTGTTCTATCTTTTATTGATAATGTTGTTAAATCCTTTCAAGATGGTGAATATTTTGTGTCTGCCTTTCTAGATCTTAGTAAGGCATTTGACTGCATGTCTCATGAAATACTAATCCGTAAACTTTTTTTTACAACTTTCAGCCAGATGCCACTAGATTAATTTCATCGTATCTTTTGAATCAATTGCAAGTAGTCTCTGTCGATGGTATAGTCTCCGATAAAGAACAAATCGCGTATGGTGTACCTCAGGGGTCCATCTTAGGGCCTCTACTTTTCTTAATTTATGTGAACGATCTGCCATACTTTTTCCCCGATTTTTTTACGATATTGTACGCGGACGATACTACTTTTAGTAAAAAAGCAATGTCATCTTCATTAGTAATAAGTACTCTTATGAATATATCTTCGCAAGCGGAACCTTGGTTTTTCGCCAACAAACTTTGCGTAAATAAGAACAAATGAGTTCAGATGGTATTTTCATTGAAAAAAGATAAGTCTTTTGCGGATACGGAAAGTACTAACAAGTTCCTCGGAATTGTTCTAGATACTAAATTACTTTGGCATGAACATGTGGATTATATTGTTCACATCATTTCTAAAAATACTTATCTCTTAAGAAACTTATCAAATCATGTTGATCAAAATATATTAAAAATTGCATATTATGCGCTAATACAATCTCACTTAGTATATGGTATACTAATCTGGGGACACAGCGCCTCGTCACAAAACCTTTTTAGGCTTCAAAGAAGAGCTATTAGAATCCTTTCAGGTATTGGTTATCGTAATGATTGCAAATTTTCATTTCAATCCTTAAATATTTTGACATTGCCCTGCTTGTACATCTATCACTGTTTTAAATTTTTAGTAAACCAAATTAATCAATTTCCTACACTGAGTTCTTTCCATGATTATAATACCAGGTCCACAAATTTGTTAATCGAAAATTTGAGAATAAACCGTTGCAGAACTGCCAGGAACTATTTCTGTATAGTGTTCTTTAACAAATTACCTCAGAGTTTCCGCAACCTTCCACCATCTCAATTTCTAAAAAAAATCAAGGATGTCTTAACCGAAAATAGTTTTTATAGTTTCAATGAATATTTTCAATATAATTTTGAGTAATTTCTTGTTTATCATGTTGCTCATAATTTACATAAGTATTGTATTGCATAGTTTTTATGTTTATTTTTACTATTACATTCTTGTAACCTTTGGACGAGTGTATAAACTTTATGTTTTTAGCACAATAAAATTACTTACTCACTTACTTACTTACTTACTTACTTACTTACATCCATATGTATATCTTTCTTTTTTCCGTGGCTTCTTCAATTAAGTTGATCAGTTCTGCTATCGTAGCTTCTATATCTTCTTTTACTTGGAATTTCTCTTTTTCTAGTCTACTTCTGCATCTTTGAATTCCCCCTCATCCCATATTCTTTTTTCAATTTCTGTTCTTTCGTTTCTTCACTCTTGTTTTTCGTACTCTTGCTCTTTTCCTTTGATTTTTATTTCTAGTGGCATGTGGTCTGATTCTACCCTTTCTCCCGCTTTAAAACTCTCTATTTCTTCCCACGCCTCTTCGTCGACAATCCCATAGTCTATAATTGATTCTCCCCTAGCCCACTACGTCCACTCTCCTTCTTCATCTCCTTCCTTGTTTCCATTCAAAATTTCACAACCCTGTCTTCTATTATCTTCCACAATATTTTCTCTTCTTTGGTATTTGCTTTGTCTTTTGATCCTCTTTTCTCTCCCTTTTCTTTATCTATTATTCTTGTCCCCTTATCGCCCAGTCTTGCGTTAAAATGCCCTGCTATAAGTATTTTTTCAGCTCCTTTTTCTTTTGTTTCCTTTTCTATGTTTATCTTGGTTTCCTCCATTGTCTTGCTATAAACGATTATTATTTCATTAGTCCGTTTTTATTATTACTACCCTTTTCCAATTCTTGCATTTCTTTTCGTATTCCCATTACTATTCGGTTGTTCTCCCCTTTTTCTTTTCGTTTGTCGCCCCTTGACACTCCCACACATATTCAAATTTGTCCCAGTTTTCTCTTTGTACCCATGTCTTTACTAGCCCCACCACATCAAATTTTCTCACGTAGTTCCAGAAATCCTTTTCCTTTTTTCGCAACCCTTGGACATTCCAAAACAGTACCTTCACCTCTTTTTCTTCTAATTTTGTACTAGTTTCCCTTTTTCTGATTTCCCTATCTGTATCCTTTATTCCTTTTTCTTTTCCTTTGCCTTGTTTCCTTCCATTTTTCCTCCTTTTCTTCTTTTCTTTTGGCTCTTCACTAAAAATTTTCTACCTTCTTGAGTCTGCCCTCTTCTTCATTCCATTCAAAATTTCTGACATCTACAGTTAACTTTTTATAAAAAACTAAGAGAGGAGATGAACAAATTTCTGTATGAAAAAATGAATAAAGTAAAATATATACAGTTAAGACCCAAGATGACAAGCTCTCGTCAATTATTCTACCTAATTCGTCACAAGCATCTATTTTATAACTCTTATTCTATTTTAGAATCATAATCTTGTTTATAAGCACCCAAATGCGGGCATAAATTGGCCTTTAATTTACAAAAAATTTACATACACATTCAAAAAAAAATTCAAGATGGCGTCGGCGAGTGTAAACGTGTCGCATACAGTGTTGTCTTCTAAAACAAATGATGATATTGATAAGCAATGCAGAAAATGTAAAAACAAAGTGTCTAATGCCTGGTCATGTGTTAAGTGTCATAAGTACTTTCATAAAAGCTGTGCTTTAGTGGTACAAGAAAGGAATAACAAGCTTATTTTTCTGTCGAATAATGAGCTAGTATGTGATAAGTGCTGTGGTGATTCGAATGAATCTGTAAGTTCCAATAGTTCTACATCATCTGCTCAAGATGTTTTAAAGTTCTTGAATAGTGATGAATTTTCCAATCTGTTAAATAAAATGGTCGACAAGGCTGTGTCTCCTCTAATGATCGAAATTAAAAAACTTAGAGATGAGGTTCAGATTCTAAAATCAAGTATTTTCGAGATGGCGAAGATATCAACAAGAGAAACCCCGTATAGTTCTTTAAAACTGCCTTGTTGGGATGATGATCGTTTATCTGAAAAATCATCAGTTTTATCTAGTAATGAAATTGAAGGTAATGTCTTCACAATTAGTGGTAATAGTGACAAGAAAGGTCCTCAGAAAAACCTGGATAAAATATCGTTTAAAAGAAATGTAAACCTTCGCTCAGCTGTTGTGGAAGATAATCAAAACGTGTATGAACCCAATAAAAATGCTCCAGTTAAGTCCAATATTACTAATGCTACCAGTAAAACGAGGGTAATGAAGACATTGATAATTGGTACTTCTCAAGTCACCAATGAAAATGGAGATGCTCTTGAAGATCGTAGTAATGAGTTTGTTGCTGTCACTAGACGACGAAAAAGGAACATTCATGTCACAAGAGTAAATCCTCGGGTTATTATTAGTAGGATTGAAGATTATATTAGGAATAAATTACAGTGTGTTTGTACCGCTAATCACAATATGGACAATATTCAATCCTTTGAACTCAAACAATTAACTTGTAAGTTCCCTGATAAATACAGTTCCTTTAAATTATCAATCGATTTCTCATTAATTGAAAAAGTTTTGGATCCATCTTTTTGGCCAATCGGTATTGCTGTTCGTAAATATTTTAGTCCTCGTAGTGTACGAAGACAATCAAATTTTCAAAAAAGTCCAGATCATCAAACTCAGAGTTAACTATTTATTATTAGAATGTTAGAGGGTTGAGAACTAAAATCAGTGATTTATATTCTAATGTATTGTGCGAAAACTATCCGATAATTTCATTAACAGAAACTTGGCTTAATGACACATTTTTTAATAGGAAAATTATAGATAATAGATATGTTGTTTACAGAAAGGATAGATCCTTTTTAGAGACGAATAAAGAAGGTGGTGGTGGTGTAATGATAGGTGTTATAAAGAATATTCCTTCTACTTTACTGCAAATTGATACTCTTCAAAGAGAAGAAGTTTGGATACTAATCTCGTTTAATGGGATTCAAATTATAATTGGAACTGTGTATTTTCCTCCTAATTCACCCTTAGCTGTATATTCTGACCATATATCTTTGGTTGACTCTTTAATTGCTGATTATCCTGAAACTACAGTATGTATTGTTGGTGATTACAATTTGCCTGGATTGAGCTGGAAAAGTGATACTAATTGTAATTATTTAACACCTGTTAACGTTGTTTCAATGATTCAAGAATTAATTTGTGGCAATTTCGCTGTGAGTGGTCTTTTTCAATACAACTTTATATAGAATGGAAATGATGTAATTTTGGATTTAAGCTTTAGTAATACTGCACTTATCATTGAAAAATGTTTATCCTTATTACCGAAAGATATAAATCATCCTGCCTTTATTATTAAAATTAGTGACGTATTCTTGCCTTTACTAGATCGTACTATGTACACATCTTATTTGGATTTTAAGAACGCGTCATTTGGTGTAATTAATACCTACCTGGAGCAAATTGATTGGTTTATCATGGAAAATTTTTCTCATCTTGATGATTGTATGTATTATTTTTATTCTCACATAAATTCTCTTATAACTCGTTTTGTTCCTATTGTTGTTAAAAAAATTCAAAACAACTTTCCTTATTGGGTTGATAACCATACAAGATCTCTTATTGCAAAAAAAAAGAAGCTTATAGAAATTTTCAGGTAACTGGATTATATTCAGATTACGTAAAGTTTTGTGATCTTAGACGTACATGTAAGTTGGCTATGAACTTGTGTAGGAAAAATCATATTCGAAGTGTTGAGCAGAATATTATTGTTAATAGTAATGGTTTTTGGTCATTTGTCAAGAAATCAAAATCTAATACAGTGGGGTTTCCCTGTTCTATGTTCTTAGGTGATATCATAGCTGATTCTTCTAAATCCATTGCAGATTTGTTTGCTACTTATTTTCAAACTGTATATACGGTAGCTGATACTGATGTTAATATGAGTTCATCAAATTGGAAAGACAATCTTGTTGATATTAATTCATTTGAAATATCCACCGACCTTGTTTTGTCTAAATTTCTTTCCTTAGATTCTTCTGTTAAAATAGGTCCAGATGGTATTCCATCACTATTTTTAAAACAATGTGCTCACAATTTATGTTTTCCCCTACAAATTTTATATAAAAGATCTTTACAATTATCCAAAGTTCCTACACTATGGAAAATTTCTTATGTTACACCTATTTATAAGAAAGGTCATCGTAGTGATATTTCAAACTATAGACCTATTACTATTGGTTCACCTATAGCCAAAATATTTGATTCAATTACATGTGACATTTTGTCTTTCCATGTAAAAAATATCATCCTAGATGAACAAAGGGCGTTCGACAACTTCTAATTTAATGATATTTACTAATTATATATAGTTAATAATATGGAAAATGGTTACGATACTGATTGTATCTACACTGATTTGGCAAAACTTTTGATAGGGTGAATATTCGTATTCTACTATTAAAATTGGCTAAGATTGGAATTGGTGATCCTTTACTATCATGGATAGATTCATATCTAAGTAGTCGAAGGCAATTTGTAATTATAAATGGGTTTAAATCAAAATGTATAATTCCATCTTCTGGTGTTCCGCAAGGTTCTCATCTAGGGCCCTTGCTTTTCTCTCTATTTATAAATGATATCAAAGATGTTATAAAATCTAGTCAGTTTTTACTATTTGCAGATGATTTAAAAATCTTTAAAAAAATTACTTGCCCCTCTGATTGTCATATGAAACAATCTGATTTGAACTTTTTAGAATTTTGGTGTAAGAAAAATGAACTAGAATTTAACGTACCTAAGTGTAAGATTTTAAGATTTAGTCGCAAATTATGTTCTGAACATTATAATTATACATTGTCTTCTATTGTTCTTGAAAATGTGACCAGTTTTTGTGATTTAGGAATTACTATTGATAGTAAACTCTCTTTTACTTTTCACATAAATAATATTGTTTCTAAAGCAAATAAAATGTTAGGATTAGTAAAAAGAACCTGTAGTGAGTTCTCAAATCTTAGATCTTTTATTGTTTTGTTTTCATCTTTTGTAAGGTTGATCCTCGAATACGGTGCTACTATATGGTCTCCTTATTATAAGATGCACAGTCAAAGAATTGAAAGAATTAAAAAAAAAATCGTCAAATTTCTGTGCTATAAGTTCAATATATTTTTCAATAACTATAATTATACTATGACAATAAGTTATTTTGGGCTTACGTTACTTTCTAGGAGAAGAATAATGTTTGATATGTGTTTTGTTTATAAAGTATTGTCTGGTATTGTTACTTGTTCAAATATTTTAATTTTATTTATGATACATGTTCCATCTCGTCAAGTAAGAAATTCTCACTTACTTTCAATTCCATATCATCGTACTTTGTACGCGTTTCAATCGCCTGTTAGTCGTCTTGCTAGACTGACACTTATCTATAATGAAGTTGAGTTTGTGAAAATTTCTTACACCAGGTTTAAATCATCGATCCACAGGAATATTTTAATTTAGTGTTGTAACTTTTGTATGTTTTTATTATTGTAATTGTTTTTTTTTACCGTTAATAAACATCATCATCATCATCAAATTTAAGCTAAACAACGATTGATTATTCATTTACATTAATTCATGCTTCAATCAAGCTTCGATATTCAACAAACATAATAACTATTATTAAAGAGAAAACATATCTACATGAAATTCATTGTCATTATAAACGCATATTAAAACCACAAGCCTTTTTCCAGGCGTTACAACAAATGCAAAATGTGTACAACATTTCAGAGTCTTTCTTCCGGCTTCAGACTAAGAATCTGTTCCGTTGCTTGCCAAATCTGGTTACAAAACTGTTTATTATATGCTCCTAACGGTTTGACGAAAGGTTTACAATCCCAAAAATACTTCCCAGTTACCTTTTCGAGCTTCTTCGAAACAGCAACGTGCACTAAAGTTTGTGAACCTTCCCAGGGATACTAAAACAAGTCGAAATTAACAAAAATAACAATAGACAGAAATACCAATAACTTACTTTCGAGTAAATAATTGTATATAACCATATTACAGTGTTTATAAATACATTAGCCGCAACGGGATAAACATTGGATATAATAGGGGTAGCAACACATCCTGGATGAATCGTATTACAAGTAACACCAGTACCTCTCAATCTCTCGGCAAAAATATCAGAAGCTATTATCAGAGCAAACTTCGAATTTGCGTAACTGAGACACTTATCTATAAATCTGTCATACTTGTCATCGAAATTTAAATTCTTCACAGACAAAGTATTCAAAAAAGCCAAAGAGGAGCTCGTGCTAACTATTCTGCTTGGGGCAGATTTCTTCAACAAATCTAAAAATAAAATCCACGTAGATTTCACAAAATTCGAGTTCTCTGGTACCTAGAAGCAGATGAATCAGTAGAAATGGAGCAAAATAGTTGATCTGCATAACAGGATGAAGACCGTCTTTAGTCCTGTTGTCTCTGGATAGACCAATTCCAGCGTTGTTAATCAAAATGTCCAGTCTGTCTTCAGTTTTTATGATATCGGAGGCGAAATCTCTTATTGATTGTAGAGACGCTAAATCCACGAATTTCGTCACGATGTTGGGGTTGTTGGTGTACTCGATGATTTTTTCTTTTGATTGTGTCATATCAGCTACGTCGGCCATAATCACCCTGCACCCTCTTGAAGCCAAATTCAGAACAGTCTGATAGCCAATGCCTTAATCATATTTATTAAGCGAAATTATATTTAATTCTACTGACCAGAATTGGCGCCCGTCACGATGGCAGTTTTGCCTATAAGACATGTTGCACTTCTGGTAATACCACAGGATAAACGCATATAAATGTACAAAGATATAGCCAGAACCACACACGTTAAACAAAACATAGTTAATTTTAAGCAGTCGACGTGTCACTAGCTGGATTTAAGTAATATATTTAGCAGGACCAGCTTTTTTTCGGGAGCAAGTTTTTATGAAAAATTATAGACATGCAGTTTAGTTGTATCGCTCGGATTCGATTAAACTGCATTCCTTTGATTGTGATTCGGTGTGCGGCCTTGGCACTGTTTTTTGTAATGTGATTTGTTCAATTTCTGAAATTTTGGCTATATGGATTTTGCTATAAAATAATTTCTCTATGTTGCTTTTGTATTTATTACCTTTGTACTACTGTCCGTCTCGTCTGTCTGGTAGAATGAAATTTCCAAAACTGTACCTAGTGTAGTATATAAGAGGACGCCAATAATTGGCGTCCTCTTATATACTACACATAATTGGCGTCCTCTTATATACTACACTATATTAATTATTAATATTCAAACCTAAAGTCCCTAAACTATCATATTGATCGTGAAGATAGATCGAGTACTTAGTAGAAACATAATATCCATTTACCCACACATCTGATCTAGACACTGAGTCAGGATCAGATGATTCTAAGATGAAGCTTTATAATTGGGTCATATTTCGACAAAAAGACACAACCGCAACTACAATGTGTTTATGACCAATTGACTTGTCTCAAACAGCTTTAGACGACCCAAAACAACATATTTTGCCATTTTATCCAAAAACAAAATTTTCCAAGAAAATTCATCAATCTAACCCTTTTTGCATATTTAGCAAAGCGTAAGCCCGCCCACCAGCCCTATCTCAATTGTGATGATTTTTTAATTCACTGTGAACCAAGAGGGCGGAGCTGAACTGCAAAATACTTATTTCTGTACAAGAAATTAAAAACATGATTTTTTTTATTTTTTCTTTTATTCTTAGCTACTTAAAACACGTTTAAAATGGTAAATTTTTGTTAGAAAATATGAATTTTGCAATTAGGCTCCGCCCCTACGTCTGCCAACGAATGAAAACTTCATTACTATTTAGATCAGGGCAGGTATGGGTGGGGCTTAATCTGTGGCTTTACACGGTACTCAAAAACATGTCATTCATGGTAATTTCTTCTAGAGAAATAATAAGGATTTTGCAATTAACTTAAGAACTCAAGAAACTTAAAACATGTTTAGAATGGTAAATTCTTGTAGACAAATATGGACCTTCCAATTAAGCCCCGCCCCTCGATCTGATAACGACTGAAAAATTCGTCACAATTGAAAATTGAGACCGGGGTGGGGCCTAATCTTTGGCTTTGTTTTTTCTTAATAAACATAGTATTCTTTGAACAACACGATAGCAAAAACATGTTTTTAATTTCTCGTAGAGAAATAACGATTTTGCAGTTAAGCTCCGCCTTCTTGACTCACAACGAATAAAAAAATCATTACAATTGAGATTGGGTGGGTGGGTGGGGCTACATTTTGCCTTTGTTTCTTAATATATGTAGACTTAAAGAAACTTAAAACATGTCTAAGATAGTAAATTTTTGTAGTAATGAACTTAAATCCTCCACTCTTCTTCTACAACCCCTTTAAATACGGTATTATTTATTATATCGTGAATTATAAGTAATTGTTAAAGTAATGCATTACTTTTTACTTCCCGAGCGTAAGCAAAGGAAGTATTGTAATCGAGTCCGTCGGCCGACTCTCTACTTTTACGTTTTCTCGATCTTTCTTGACCCCTAGAAGACGAAGAAATAGGTCTTCCATTTCCGTCTGTCTGTCCGTCCGTCTGTCCGTCTGTCCGTCTGTCCGTCTATCTGCCGTCCCGGATTTTTATTAGACAGATAATCTCCGAAAGTACCGGACCGATTGTTTGTTTGTGTAGTTTGTGCAACATTGTGATTCATACAAAGTGTTTTGATTCTCTATCAAAGATTGTCGCAATTGACAAAGAAAACTGGCATTGCAAAACATGTGAATCCAGCCTTGACGCTTCAAAAAAAGTCTCCAACAACGTTAGTACGAGAAAATGTATTTTATAACCCTGTTGAATTGAATGTTCAAATTAACTTCACAAAAATATTAAACAGAGGTGTAGTTGTTAAATGTGCGAATGATTCTTCTTGCGATAAGCTCATAACCAAGTTAAAATCCTCACTTGGTTCTGACTATAGTGTCGAAAAATCCCAAAAGTGGAACCCTCGTCTTTATGTTAGAGGTGCTGGCAAGAATGTTTCTACTATGGAAGACAAAGATCTAATTGACAACATCTTAATATTAAATGGTTTTGACATCGAAATGTATGCGAATCAAATCAAAGTTGTAAAAAGATTTGATTATAAGTATAATTGTAATTTCATTATTGAAGTAACTAGTGCCTTACGCAGAGAAATACTAAGTAATTGAAATACTAAGTAATTGTAATGGTAGAATATATGTTGATTGGAGCTTGTGTTCATGTTCAGACCATCTGATTGTTAGACGTTGTTTTAAATGCTCCAAATTTGGTCATCTCAGCTCCAAATGTACAAGTAATACGCAAATATGTCACAAGTGCTCTGACAATCACTTTTCCAAAGATTGCAATTCTGACCACCTCAAATGCATAAATTGTATTGAATACGCGGAGCATAATAAGTCATCAAATATCGATATCAACCACTATGCTGGAGATGAGCAGAAGTGCATTGTTTATAGGAATAGGCTAAAAGACTTACGCGACCGAATTGATTATGGTTCATAGTTCAGATCTTATTAACGATATGGGTTCAACAAAAAAGATAAATATAAATTTAAATTGTCTTAAAATTGCACATCTAATAAATGTAAGATCGCTTTTTACGGGGTTTGTTGAATTTACAAGCTTAATCACTTTCAATAATTTTGATTTGGTAGCTGTTACTGAGACTTGGTTGTCTGAGGATATCCCTTCTGCTGTGGTTGGTTTTGATGGTTACAAATTATATAGAGCTGATCGGTCTAGAACGGGCGGCGGTGTTGGCATCTATGTAAGGAATTGTTTGAATAGCGATGTAGTCCTTCATGACTACTGTGGTGTTGCTGGTATCGAATTTTTGTGTATCAGACTTCAACTAAATAAACGTTCGCTGCTCATTTGTGTATTCTATAAATATGCTTCTTCTTTAAACGATGCCACCGAATTCTTTGACAACTTTTTATCTTTTATTACTCCACAGTACGATAATATATTAATAACTGGCGACCTGAATGAAGATTTTCATTTCAATAATAAGCTAAATGATTGTTTTGTTGCCTATGGTTTTCAACAAATCATCTCTGAAAGTACCAGAGTTACGCGAAATTCTGAGACGTTGATCGATCCTATTTTTATCAATAATAATGCATTATTTCGTAGAAGTGGAGTTATAAATGCTGATCTAATATCTGATCATCGTCTAGCCTTTTGCATATTAGACATAAATATTCCTAAAATGACTCCTAAATATACTACATACAGAGACTTTAAAAACTTCTTGCATGATAAATTTATGTTAGACTTAAATAAAAAATCTTTGGATAACATTTATTACATCCTCAATATTGAAGATAAAATCAGGTACCTTAACACAACTGTGTTAGAATTATTTGACTATCACGCTCCGTTCAAAACCTCGTTCATTTCAAAGCCCTATGCACCTTGGCTCACCCCTTCTATTAAAGAATTGATGAAACAAAGAAATCGAGAATTAAGTTTATATAAGCAAACTAAATCTGCTCAGCACTGGCTATTTTATAAGCAGCTAAGAAATTCTACGGTTGCTGCACTGAAACGGGAAAAAAAAGCGTACTTAGATTATGAAAATAATACTTCAAACAAAAAAAGACTATGGGTTGCATTAAAAAAGTTAAATATTCAAAAAAAAGTTAACGGATTTGATCTATCTACATTCAGTGCTGATGAAATAAATGAATATTTTTTGTCAGTATTCACTCCTACCCAAAACTGTGTTGAAGCTGTTAATAACATAAAAGGTATCAAATATAAACCAAATAGTAACTTTAAGTTTTCATTGGCCACTGAGGAGGAAGTGTTTCAAATCATAAATAGCTTGAAATCTAATGCTATGGGTATTGATGGTATCTCTGCTTACATGATTAAATTATGTTGTCCTAATATAGTTCAGCCAATTACTCACATTATTAATTGCTGTCTGGAGACTGGATACTTTCCAGAATTATGGAAAGTGGCTTTAATTCATCCTATTCCCAAAATCGACGAGGTAAACTCTCCAGAAGACCTAAGACCAATAAGTATTCTTCCAACATTATCTAAAGTCTTAGAAAAATGTATCTATAATCAAATCTTTAACTTTATAGTAAAAGAAGAGATATTATCTGAAGATCAATCTGGTTTTCGCAAGGGATATAGCACAACGACAGCTCTAGCTTCTGTTATCGATGATTACCTGATTGAACTTGACAAAAACCACGCAAGTATTGTAACTCTTTTGGATTATTCAAAAGCTTTTGATACTTTGGACCACCAACTCCTCTGCACAAAACTGGAATATTATGGGTTCGATCAAATTTCTGTTTCTTTTTTTAAATCATATTTACAAAATCGACATCAACAAGTTGTAACCGAGTCTGGTAAATCTAAAATTGGCTTAATAACATCAGGTGTACCGCAAGGCTCGGTCTTAGGCCCAATTCTTTTTACTATATATACTTCCCAATTGTTGCAGATACCTTCAGTATCTAAAAAGAGAGCCTTTGCAGATGACACCCAAAGCAGCATCATTTCCTACCTAACGAAGTTGATATAGCATCTAACCATATAAATAATGACTTACAAAATATAGCAAATGTTTCATCCGATATTAACCTCCAACTGAATATAAATAAATGCAAAGTTATTTGCTTCGCTCCCCGAAAATTTAAAAATGTTCTTTTTGACAATATTAATGTTAAATTTGATAACATAAAACTACCAGTTTTACATACTGTAAGAAATTTGGGATTGGTGATTGATGACGATTTTCGTTTGTCATATATAAATTATTGCCTAGTAATATATTACCCATGTCTTGACAGTATTGATAAATACCGTCTTCAAAAAATCCAAAATAATTGTTGTCGTTTCATTTTTGGTTTGAGGAAATTTGATCATGTGTCTCAGAAAATCTGTGAGCTCGGTTGGATGAAAATTGACAAATTGTTTCAGTATCACCTATCTATCTTTGCTTTCAAGTTATTTTCCTCTAACTCTCCGCCGTACTTGCGTTGTAAATTTCATACAAGAAAAAGTATGTTAAACTCAAGTCTTCCATTAAGGAATCTTAAAGAACTGTCAATGCCAAAGCATTATACATCTATCTTTCAGAGATCTTTCACGTACAATATTATCAAAGTTTACAA